TTGTCCAAGAGGGTGCAAGAACACTATCATGCATGGTTACGAAAAGGTGGAAGTGGAGCAATAAGAAGCGCGATCATAGAAAATCTGGTCGATAATGATCACCCTATCTCTATAGCCTCCGCCTTTAAAGTCATCTACAAGGCAAAGAGCAATCTACCTAAATCCCTACGTACCCGACTCATCTGTATTGCTGAAGCCATCTTTGGCTATCGAAACAGAAAAGCCAGATCTCTGTGTACAGAAAAAGTTCGTTCAACCCCTCCAACTTTCATGGTCTTAATCCCTCTATGCTAAAATATGGTAATCCCCAATCATATTTTAGCTCTACCAATTTTTCATTTTATCTATTCACTTTGTATACTCTTCCTTATTAAGTTAATTGTTATTATTACTATTCTCACTTTGAACAGTCCGCGGTATTATTTCACTTGTTCCACTTGTCATTATAAATCAGTTCTTTTTACAACGATAAATTCTATGCTATCAAATTTCACACAATATTACGTAACGTTTTTGTTTTATTCGATTTGTCTACTAACCCAATAATTGCACGCCCTTTTTCAAGTTCTATCCCTCCTATGAATTATTCTATACATGACATTAATCTGCTTTGCCACTTGACATTTAACTACGATTATAATCACAAACAAAATCCCTACAAAACCAATACTCGGAAATTTTAGTTTTAATTAAACTTCATATCATTATTATTATTAAATAAAGTATAATTATATTTTAATGGTTTACACACAATGATAGGTTTTGTTATTGGTAATATTTCGAGCAAAAATACTGCCCGTGTTCACACCACTGTTGGAATTGTTTTAATCCACAATGCTCAAGCTTTTTACTGATATTAATTATTATTATTATATTATGCATTCACACCTAAGATTCAATTCCCTCACCGGATATAATAATAAATAATAATTTTTCCTTCACGTTCCCAGAGGAACATAGGGCTTCAAGCCACTGGCTTCTCATAGATTTTATTTGACCTTTTCCGAACCATGAATGAAGATGCTCATTAATGAGTTTGTTAAGCTGTCTAGTTGTTCACCCTATATAGCTGTCTCCACAGGAGAAACTAAATTTATAGATTCACATCGAAGTGGCATAGCTAGGTAGCTTGCCTTTCACTTGAGCGATCATAATTGGTTGACTGGAAAATGACAGACAAAGGGTGGAGGCAGTATAAGTCCGTTTTATCGCTCTCGATAATCACAGATGTAAGACTTCGCTAGCCACGTCCCCATTATATTGCAGTTTCATGAACAGTTGTTTCTGTTCAGCTGTTGTCAGTTTCTCTTGATTGTACTTGGTATTCATGTGTCTCCTTACAAATCTACTAGGATAAACCATTTGGACCAACGTATTTTGGATGTATCCTAGCTCATTATCTTTTACTTCTTGCTCTATGCGTGAGGCATCTGACCAAATTGATTTAGTATCGGATTGGTACAAAACTAGGGAAATGTGTATATTGTCCTACAGATGTAGGTTTTCTATAGATATCTCTCTTGGGTGAACCAGCCTCTCTTCTACTCAACTGGACGTCCAGGAAATTTACTATACCATCATGTTCTTCTTCACAAACGAAGATGAGCGATGAATTTCCATTATTACATTTTATTAGCATTTCATTCTTGTCAGCTTTCACATCAAGAATAATAAACGTATCATCAACATAGCGAAAATAAGAATCGGTTTTATCTATTACTTGTTTGAATGGAAATCTGCCTAAATTGGCCCCAATGGATAACCTATGGCAATGCCGTCGATTTGTCTGTAATAAAGGTTGTTGAATGTGAAGTTTACATTCAAAGTGCATCTTAAAAGCAACTCTTTCAGACTAATAACTTGAATTCCGATGTTGAACTGTTTTTCGAGTATAGTATCTGTCGGCATATGAATTCCGCAGTTTTCATAACTGTGGTACACTGGTGAACAGTGATGCTACATCTAAGGATAGCATTTGCTTCCCATTTACATTGATATCATCTACGTTAGTAATGAATTCAAAAATATCTTTAACACTATGATTGACTTCCATCTTGTGTAACGTTTGGAGGAGTTTACCTAACTACTTTGCCACTGCATGGTAGGTGGAATTAAACATTATATAAGTCGAATAGGTCGATTGAATAGGTTGATCATAAATTCGTTGGAAAGAGTCTCTTCACTGAATATTGCATTATGAATGTTGTAATATGAATTATTATTATTAATAAGAAAATAATACTGCCTACTTTTCAGTGACGAAATAGCATATGAAAATTTTGTCATCATCCGTGTAGGCGGTTGGTCAAAATGTCACATTTGTTTATTCACCTCTTTAGTATTCCATAATGACTCAACTTTCATACAATCGCATTTATCTATATATATATATATATATATATAGTAACAAAAATGATGAATTGTCACAAACTTAATGGTCAGTCAAATGTTGGTCTGCAGGAGTTAATCTGATTAAAGGATTTTGATAGCGTTATTAGAAGACGGAGACTGTCTGAAAAATGTGATGTATTAGCGCTATACATTTCGAACAATCTGATCACACATTTACTTGTCAAGTCAATATATATATAGAAAGGTTAAATTAAACAAAGTGAGAGAAAAAGGAATTAAGAATAATTAACACAAACGTTTGGTAATCCTTATTTGATTGGATTACCAAACGTTTGTGCTAATTATTCTTAATTCCGTTTTCTCTCACTTTGTTTAATTTAACCTTTCTATATATATATTGACTTGACAAGTAAATGTGTGATCAGATTGTTCGAAATGTATAGCGCTAATACATCACATTTTTCAGACAGTCTCCGTCTTCTAATAACGCTATCAAAATTTATAAAAGGGACTAACTGATTAAAGGATTCCATCATTAGTTGACATCGGCTACGGAACCATTGGAAAACTTTCGGGGAGTAGCGAACACCAAGAAAGTCGTGACCAATCGAGTGTACGAACAAATACTCGTCAGTCGCACTATATCATGCGTGAATTAGCAGAAGTTGGAATACACTGCCTAACCATTGGATAAGGTTATGGTGGGTGAGTAGTCTATGAGATTGCCTTGTGACCAAGAGGTCCTGAGTTCAAACCTCACTGGGTAGTTAGTTCTGAAGAATCCTAAACTAGGACGAAACAGCCAGCCGTCTAGTACTCTCCACAGGTTTTCCAGTCTTTTTCAGGTTCTGATAAAATCTTGTAACCAAATAGTTATTCATATTATTCAATGCATAAAAAGAAGTTTAATAAGTTTATTAGAGCTACGTGGTGAATAATTCAGCGAGTTGAGTTGTACTCACAATGTACATAGAAATACGCCTATAATCATTATGACAAACCTTTTCATTTCTACTGACTTGATTTTTGTTCACTTATAACTTTAGTATTATACAATTGGTGGATGGTGGCTAGCAGTGGAATCCAGGATGCGCATTTCGTCCTATTTGGGACTCGTCAAAAAAAATTCAATTCAATATAACTTTAGTATTTCTTAAAAACATTCAGGTAATGCCTTATTTTCCTTTGTTACTATATTCTTCCTGATTACAACTCATTTACTCATAAAGTTATTGATTTTATCATATGAGTCTAATACACGTATTCAGCTCCCCTTATCCACTGACTAATATTAACAACTATGACTGTAACAGTTCATCATTTTTGTTACTACCCTCCCTGTATGTAAATTCGATTGTACAACTAAAGGGGAGAAGTGAGTTCGCCGAAAAATACCTTTTAGAGTTGAATTAAATGTTCTGTTTTCATTCATATCTGACTGAGGCTGATTCATGAATTAAAGAATATTATTTCATTGGATGGAGGATTTCATCATGAACTGACATCAGATGGAGAACCACTGGAAAACCTGCATGGAGTACTGGACAGCTGTTTCGTCCTCTTTACGGAACCCATCAGTACATACCCACCGACGTTCGAACCCAGGACCTTCTGTTACAAGGCGAGCTCGTAGACACTGAGCCAATGGGACCCGATTCAATGGCCGATTCATGACATAGCGCGACTATTTCGAAATGTCTTCTTCGATGAGTTACTGCCCCACCTTAAACCTGCTTTACCCGACTGGTCACGGCCTCCTACTGGAACCCCAGGTTAACTACCTAAAAAGGGCCAGTCGTTAGTGAGCATCAGAATAATTTTTAAGTATTGGTTTGCTAGGGACTTTGTTTGATTCCTAGACGAAACAGCTCTCCGGTACTTCCAGGTTTTCCAAAGTCTCTAACGAAATCCTCCATCCAATCAAACAAAATCCCTACAAAACTAATACTTGAGAATATTATTTATTTATTTTATTGTAGCTTGATTGGATACCATATTTTTCAGTATGTGACATCGCTAGCCAAAATTTTGCAAGCCGGCCATTGATATCAGGTGTGCGTTGGCTAGGGATCGAACCCCGAACCATGTACATGGTCAGTAAGAGTCCTAACCGCTGCGCCACCGCCACACACCCATAATAATGTAAACAGAATTTTAGATTTACCTGTCGATTAATTGGACCGACGTGCTCGGTCTCAGGTTGACATGTCGGCTCCGTATGCAAATGCTTCGAAGTGTAAAATCTAAAATTGAATGAAATAATTAATATAGCCCGTTGCCCAAGAGGTCGATCTCGTGGCTTAAGTGGTCTAATGGATAACCCCTTGGCGTTTGAAACTGCGGGCACTGGGCTCGAGTCTCGGTGTGAACACCACTACTGAACCCGCTGGGGAATGCAGGTATATCCAACTGACGCGAATCCCAAACAATGAAATGCTTATTATCCTGGATTCCACTGCTAGTCACCATCCATCAATTAATTAATGTAGACAGAAGTCTTAATTATCTGAACCGTTTGTATTCCATAGTAAAAATAGTAATGATTAAAACAGAAAATATTTTAGCCAATCAGAATGAAAATAACTGTCCAGTAATTTGATTGGTCAGCTATTATGTTTACTTATTATTATTCTGTAATACTATGTGAGCCGTATTCTGTGCACTTCTCTCTGCGTGACTAATGAATGACAACTCTCTCTATTAATTTTTGCATATAAATATGTTTAGAACTAGCGGTTGCATAGTTGTTATTTATGCATATTTCTTAAATTGTTGAGTTTTTTTGTTGGCGTCATTGCTGTTGTAACCTTGAAGTACATACTGTATTACTTGTCAGACTGTTTACATTATTTCTAACAGAATGCCGTCAATACTTCCATTTTTACCATCAATATTATCATTATCACTATTATTATTATTCAGTGTCGTTAACTCTCAGACGAATTTTACAACCTATATTAATGTAGAATTATCTCACGGTGGTATAATTCGTGGTGTTGAAGAGACTGTCAATAATGATGGTGTGCCTATTCAAGTGAATCGTTTCTTAAGCATACCATACGCTTTACCACCAGTTGGTAAATTAAGATTTGCTCCACCAATAGAACATCCTGGCTGGAATGGTATACGTGATGCTACTAAACTCTCAGCCACCTGTTGGCAGTATATATTCACTGGATTCGATTCAGTTAATCCTGCTGGTAGAATGTGGATTAATAATACCGAGATGAATGAGGATTGTTTATACCTTAATGTATGGCAACCGACAAATAGTGTCAATGCTAGACAACCACTTCCCGTTATGGTATGGATCTATGGAGGAGGATTTACATCAGGCAGTGCTAATCTACAAGTCTACAATGGTGCAATACTTGCAGCTACACAAAATGTTATTATTGTCTCTATGCAATATCGTGTTGGTGCATTTGGATTTCTACGCTTAGATCCTTCGTTAGACAACAGTAATAATAATAATAACGATGGTAATAATAATAATAATAACAACACTGCCAACAATACATCAAGTATACCGGATAAAGATATCGCCTTAGGGAATCAAGGTATATTAGATCAATATATGGCATTATTATGGGTTAAAAATAATATTCAACGTTTTAATGGTGATCCTAATCAAGTGACAATATTTGGTGAATCAGCTGGGGCTGTAAGCATATCAATTCTATGGTTATCACCATTAGTTCAACCATATTTTAAAAGAGCTATTCTACAATCTGGTAGCTTGTATGCTAGATGGGGATTAGATGAACCGTATGAAGCGCATGAGAAGGCTGTTGAGGTGAGTTTTAATCCCAATTTATTCTTATGCATATACATATATATATAAACCATTTATTGATGTGTATAAGCTTCTCTCTATACTTTATCTTAATGTAACAATTCCTTTCTCAGGCGTGAGGATAGAAACCCCACCCTGCAAAAACAAAGTTGCTAGAGAAACTTCAACTTCAGCACGATGAATAAGTCAAATGGAGACATATCAGGGTTGATGACAGACTGATATCAGTTAGAAAACCTTTCAAAACCAGGAAGTACTGAATAGTTATTCTGTCCTATCTTTGAGATTCTTGAGGTAGTACGCATTCACTAGCACATTCTGGCTACAAGCCAACCTCGTAGACTATTCAAACACTGACACATGGAACTGACCAGATATCATATGTGATAATGTACATTCACAAATAATTATATGAGTGTTACTGTTGAATTACAATCAGATGGGAAATAAGATGTGTTTTTAGAGTCATAATAAGTAACTTATTAGAATGATCAGATGTATGTGGATTGCACTGAAGTAGAATTTTAAGATTATTTATTATCCTCCTCTGATTTGACCGACTGGTGGTAATAATATCTTCCATATTTCTGGTATTTGCATTGAGTCATTTCTGTTGTATGTGTTGTGTTGGGTGTAGACTCGATGAACAAGGATTCAGTAATCAACCTCTCTTTCTCTCCACCTACAGAGATTACTTTTTAGAATTTTAACCCTCTCTCACACATCCTATCGTGTGGTGGTGTGTTAATGCATGCATTGCAATTGCTGAGCTTTTTTCTGATTTACTTATCTTCTCGGGTGGGGTCAACCATTCTTACCCTAGCTAAATTCTTATGTTCCGACAATCTGACTACCCCTGACCTACCAGTTTGACCTATGTAGTTGACCTAACTCACAGTCATTGTAGGGTATTTTGTAAATCATATTATTTTGTTTAATTGGTTCAACTGGGTCCTTTAACCTATACAGCTTGTCCCTGAGTGAGTTTGTAGGTTTAAATGCCACCACCCTAATTCCTGGTTTATTTAGAATCCTACGTAGGGTTTCAGATGTCCCCTCTTTATATGGTATAACTGTAGATGACTTGTATTCTCTCTTATTTATGTTATTATTAATAGTTTCACAATTATTTCTATTTTTCGTTTGGCCTATTCTGATGTTCCTAATGAATTTTAAAGGATAATTAGTTATTTAACACCAAAGCCTCTTCTGTCTGTTTTAATTCATCATTTAGATCTTTTTTTTGTGCTTCTTAGTGTTACTGCTCAGTTTGTGAGACACACTTAACTAAGCCTGCCTTAACAGTTAAAGGATGAGGCGAATGAAAGTCTAAATATCTATTAGAATGAGTTGGTTTCCTGTGCGCACTACTGTGTAGTTTACCTTCTTCTATTCGTTTTATTTTACAATCTAACATAGCTAATTCTCCCTGTTCATTTTCCGACTCAAATGTGAATTTTATTCCACTCCACTAGTGAGTTCATGTGTGTTTCAAGAAGCTAGAGATATGTTCTGTTTGTAACACTGTGAAAGTGTCATCCACATACCGCCACCATATTCTTGTAGTAGGAATAAATGCATTGAGAGCAATAATTTCCTACCTGTCAATAAATATATCTGCTACGATAGGGGATATTGATGATACATCCCATTGCTACGCCAATTTTTTCTGTCTATATATTTTGCCCTGGAATTAAAAGATAGTAGACATAAGGCATATAAGTAAAAAACGTGGGCACTGTGGTAGAGCATAACTGTACTGTACACCAATGTGTGATTTATCAAAATAAAATCTTATCCATAATGGAGTAATGTGAGATAGCATAAATGAATTCCTATAAAAATTTCTTCAATAGACAGCTTTGTCCTATAAGTGAGTTCAGGATCTGCAGTTAGTTCTCTTCTAACCGTTTCTAAGGCCATACTGATTGGTATATTAGTATAAAGACTAGTTATATCAAAAGTAACCGCAATTTCATCATTCTCTAGTTGATTATATATATCCAAACCAAGTTCACTTTTAACCGTTTGAAAAAATTTGGGCATTGGGTATATGATATTCATTATAATAGAGGTTTTTTTGTATTTCCCAATGATTGAAAAAACAAAACGAGATTGTTTTTACTGACGTTTCGCTATTTAATGCTAATAGCTTTCTCAACGTATTATTAAACCGGAATTTACAAAATCTACTCAGCATATATATAACAAAGAGTTAGGGGTGAGAAAAATATAAACTTAGCTCAGCTTAAAAGGACATATTGAAAGTCAAAATAACAATGAAGATCGTTCAAACCAAATATCAAAGGTAATAGTATATCTGTTATTATATCAAAATAAAGTTTACTAACTTGATCATCGTTCGTTAGTCTGGGGTCACTTTTGGTTGTCAAGTTCGAGAATAGGTAAAGGTAACCAAACTAAGTGTAGAATGTGAAATACTTGATTATCGTTCGTCAGTATGAGATCATTTTGGTTGTCACGTTGGGGAATAGGTAAAGGTAACTAAACTAAGTGTAGGCTGTGAAATACTTGATCATCATTCGTCAGTCTGGGTCGTTTTTTGTTGTCAAGTTAGCGAACTGGTAAAGATAGTAAAACCAAGTGTAGATTGTTGGATTTTGTCAGTGTGTAGAATTATGAAAGAAGTGTGTGTTTACATAGTGAACTTGCTCACCACATTTGCGTTGATTTTGCTACTTCATGGGGGAGGCGGGTGTTGTAGCCAGGTCCCTCCAACTATCGAATACTAACACATAAGTTCTATCTCTAAATAACTATTATTATATAAGTGATAATAAGCTGAGTTCATAGACGCTTACCCATGCTAGTAATCAATTTCAACACTGCTTAGTTCTTTAACTGGTAAAAATACTTCTGTAAAATTATCAGATTTTCAATAAGTGATTGAATGCACCTAAGTCTGTGTGCTGTATAAGTGCTTATGTACTTGCGTGTGTTTTCACAATGTAAGAAAAAGTCACTTAATCCAAAAGTTAAATACATTCACAGTTCATACCTTTACATACATAAAATATTATTTAGCATTCTTAAAGAATTTATCAATTTTGTGAATTCAAGCGGTTAGATATTTCACTTAATGTGTAGAAATTAATCTTTCGTGATTCTTTTAGAAGTGAGACACCTTCTGGTGTGGATCAGGGGTTGAAGGGGAGTAAATGAATACGAAGAGGGAGGGAGATACTAAAACCGACATTATACAGGACTGTTTTCTTTTCGTTAACTTTCCCACTGGTGGAACACAAAGGGCTTCAAGCTGAAGGCTTGAAGTTTCCGTAGCAGTAGTATTTATTTTTACGCGATGAGGTTGCTAACCTCATACCCAACCTCTCCTATTTACCGGTCTTAATACTATCTTACTAAGGCAGAGGAGTGAGTCAGCTAGGGATCGAACCCCGAACCACATGAGGCGTGGTTGGAGAGCATCTCACTGCTGTGACGCCGACGCATTTTTACAGGATATAGTCTTATGAAATGATTGTATTTGATTTTGATTTTTGATTTACAGCTTGATTCCACACTGTATTTTCGGTACAAGTATGGAATTTTCAGCGTGGATATCGGTATCCCAAATTTCGCAGGCCAACCATAGATATTAGGTGTGCGTCGGTGCGGGCTCGAACCCCGGACCATGTGTATGGTCGGCGAGAGTCCTAACCACTGTGCCACCGACGCACATCGATAATATGAGTAATTAATTTTTGTTATAGAAATTGTCTATATAATGGTGGCTGGAATACACTGAGAAAATAAATTGCCGAGGTATATAATACCATTTGGGTTTGAATCGTTTAAAACCTACACAGCTAGTTTATAATTGGTGGATGGTGACTAGCGGTGGAATCCAGGATAATACGCATCTCGTTTCATTTGAGACTCGTCATCTGGATGTACCCGCACTTCTCAGTGATTGTTTATGTTCCCACCGAGATTCGAACCCAATGCCCATAGTTTCAAACACCAAAGCTTTATCCACTTGACCACTTTGGCCACGAGAGTCGATTGATTGGACCGATTTGCTCGGTGTCAGGTTGACATGTCGGGTTCTTGTGCCGATGCTTCGACAATATCTGGTCATTTAACCAGTATTTATTTCATGGTTCATGGGATTAGTCCATCTAAATCAGGTTTTATAATGCACGAGGCTACTAAATATACATGGGTAATGTTAAATCTTAAGTTGACGAAGCAGGGTTTAAACCTTGGCTTTTTACTAGCTAAACGTCAAAAACGTTAAAATTAATTAGCCATAATCCATAATTCGTGAATAAATATCATGACTGATTTGTGATCACTGTTTCCCCTGAACACCCCATAATGGTCTTGAACTTATGTATTATTGTTGGTCAATGGCTGAAGGTGAAAAATATATCCTAATTCAGTCTGATTATAAATGACAAGAGAACGGGCAGCTCGTTCAGTGAATTTTGACGGAGACAACACAATCAACGGAGTTGCAATAATCGTTAAGTTACTGACTGACTGGTTTCAACGTAGAACTGCTTTGCACGGATGTACAACAATGTGAGCTGCCATACTCCCTCCTTGTAGCACACAAACAACAAAAGAAGAGAGTAACAAGAGGTTCAGAAGAGAGAGACACATAAACAGAAGTGTAAGTGAGAGAAAAAGAATATTAATATGAAAGAAGAAGAATAGAGTTTTATTGGATGGTTATGACAAATCACAAAGAATGAATACATTATTCAAAACGATTTTTTGCTATATCACCAATTGTCTTCTTCAGCCATTATTGGTTCTAACCATCCCGAGGACCCTAACCAGTCAGGAAGCCAGTCAGTCTATACCTCCCTACATGGCTGCCCTAAATTAACTGTTTTCTATTTTATTGACTTGATGAAGCCGTGTTTTAGTTTGACCACCACTAACTAGCTAGCTGTTTTCTAACTTGATCCATCCTGTCACCTAACACTGCCCGTTGAGGAAGGCGATGGCGACGAATGATTAAGGGTGGTAGC